CAAGTACATGAATAAGGTTGCTTATAGAGTCCCACTTGAAACTGGATATCAGTGGACTATGAGAACCCTAGGACATAGGACATAGGACACAATGCTATAACATGTTTAGGATGCACAGTGATGTTTTTTATAGTCTCCACACTTTGCTTGTTGAGAGATATGGTCTGAAGTCCACTAAGAAAATAACATCTATAGAGGCTCTAGCAACGTTTTTGTGGATGTGTGGCGCCTCTCAGTCCATGAGACAAGCTAATAATAGAGTTGAGAGGTTACTAGGGACATATAGCAACAAGTTTAATAAGGTACTATCTAGTGTGATGAAGCTAGCTACTGATATCATTAGGCCAAAGGATCCACAATTTACAACTATTCATAGAAGGTTACAATCTCCTCGGTTTGCTCTGTACTTTGATAATTGCATTGGAGCTATAGATGGGACACATGTATCTGTCACTGTGCCAACTGAGAAGGTAGTCCAGTACACAGGAAGGAAAGGAATCACTACTCAGAATGTGTTAGCTGTAAGTGACTTCGATATGAGATTTACTTTTGTTCTGGCTGGATGGCTAGGCTCAGTTCATGATATGAGGGTGTTCAATGATGCACTTGAGAAATTTGGTGACAAGTTTCCACATCCACCTGAAGGTATGCATGGGCTCTTCAATGTCTTCTTTGCCTTAGTTGTAGTATTTGTCATGTTACTTACACAAGTTTTGTGTTGTGTAGATAAATTTTATCTTGTTGACCCGGGATACCCAAATCGGCCGGGTTTTTTTGCACCGTACAAAGGTACAAAATACCATGTCCCCGAATGGAGAGAAGGCCCTGCGCCTAGAGGTAAAAAAGAGATGTTTAATTACACATATTCTTCACTTACAAATGTCATAGAGAGGTCTTTTGAAGTTCTAAAGATGAAGTGAAGAATTTTGTTGGATTTGCCTAGTTTTCCCATGACAAAGCAAAGCAAAATAATAATGGCATGCATGGCACTGCACAATTTCATTAGACAGAGTGGTATGATGGATGACCTCTTTGACTTGTGTGATCAAGATGAAAACTATATCCCAAATGAGGAAGGAACTTCAACTCAAACAACTGGAGACACCACACATTATGGAGGCGAAGATGAAAACATGAATCAATTTCGTGATTGGATAGTGAATGGTTTGTTTGTAAGGTCATAGATGCGCCATGGTTTGTAATAATAAAGTTTTTTGTAAACAATTTGAACATTGTTTGTGAGTGAGAATGAACATTGCGACAAAGCTAGCATAGGCGCCAAGCAGAGCAGGCGCGTGCGCGATGGCGCCAAAGCCACGCGCGCGGAAACCAGGGGAGCGTGCGTGGGAGCCAGCAGCATGGCCTCCGACGCGCCAAAAAGCCAGGGGCAGCAGGCTACCATTAATTAGGGGTGTTTTGATCATTCTAAGCAGGCACATCTCAGGTTTAGTCCCATTTAGTCCACCTAACTAAACAGGGCCTCACTAAGTTTTAAGAGCTGGGAACCAAACAGGGCCTTACTCCAGGAACCAACGTGCGGCTAGTTTGCAGCAGCAGCCAGCAGCTGCTGTTAGCAGAGTCCTCCTATGTGAGGACTGAGGACTGAGCTAGCTCCAGCTTAAGCAGCCGCTGAAAAAAAAATACTTATCGAATGGGAAAATGGATGGATCCTATCCTACAAGGTGTTCTCTTGGAATGCTATACCTTGTTTCCACGGTAAAACAAAGTGGTGTTGAAGTATAATTGAGGCTACATATACAAAGAAGATGATGTCAAACTAATTTAAGATTTTTCTATATAGATGACAAAAGTAAGAACAAATTGAACAGAGCACTCGAGTCTACGCTAGGTTTAATCATGACGGACCAAAAAGATTCAAAAAAAGTGGTCGTTATGCATCCAAAAATTACTTGGGCTCTCATGGGCTGTAGACTGTACACCCGGCTTCTCATGGGCCAAACTTCAAGGCTATACAAGTAAAAAAAAGGACCTGCTAGTGCCCGGACGTTCGGACGGATGTTTGCGTCCGGACGCCGGTGCCTACTGCCCTATTCACGCGTGTCAGCGCGCACGTAGGAGCCCACGCCCCCATCCGTGTTTCCCTGTCCGGACACCCGAGCCCCATCCCACTTCCCGTCTGCACCCCCTCCGCTCACACGCATGCCGCGTGGGGACCGCCTTGCCGTCCCCATCCGCTTCTGATGTAAGTTTCCCATGCCGCCCCCAACGTCACTAGCATCGAGAAGAGGAGTAGGGGCGGCGGATGCCTAGCCAATGTCCGGAGGAGGAGGAGGAGACATCGAGGCGAGGCAGTAGAAAAGCGACGAGGGAGATGCAACACCCGTTTTTTTGAAACATTGAGATGTAACACTTACAACATATGTCTGAAGGCATATAAAACACTTGAAACATGTTTCTGAAACACTTGCAAAAAACACCTGAAAAACACTTCAAAACTATTGCAAAACATAAGCAATATCCAAATAAAATACTTGAAACATATGTGTGAAACGTATGCAACATCTAGATAAACACACACTTGCAGCATGCATGCGAAAACACAGATGAAACATTGGAAACAGACCTTCGCAACATACATGTACAACCATCCCAACATATGCAACATCTCGATCTACTTTTACAATATCCGCATGAAACAATTGCAATATACCTATGAAACATATGTTTGCAACATGCGTTTTCATACATCGCAACATCTCCTTATTGCTTAGGAGAATAGAGGCTCGTCGATGTGTGAAATTCACCGGAGACAGCGACCCGACAGCAGCGGCGCTTGTAGGCGGCTGGCCGGCAATAGCGGCTGCGTGAGGCGACAGGGAGTTAAAGGGCAGCTGCGGCTCAGAGGCGGACGCGCACCGCACCTAGCAGGCAGTTCGGTGGCCGAGCGCCGCACCTGGTAGGCAGGGCTGGCGGCCGAGCGCAGCGGCTCGGAGGTGGTCGAGCGCTGCTCCTCGGAGGCAGCAGACGAGCAAATAGGAGCAATAATCGGATAAGAGCGACGAGCGTATTTTTTATTAGAAACAGACGAGGGGATTTGAGAGGGTCGTTGGGCCAGTCCACTGCGCATCCGGAAGATTCGTCCGGACAGGCAGGGACGGACAGAACCGGAAAAAAGTGTACTTTAGACTCCTTGAACTAACATTGTCGTGGTCTGATTTTCCTACTTTAACTTCAAACAAATCAGGCATCTTGGTCCCTTAATTTTAAAAGTCAATTAAATTATCTTCCTATCCAGGTTAGAAGTGGTTTTCAAGATGGTTTTGTTCTTTTACAAAAATCAATAAATACCTGATAAAGGTTCTTAAACCATAAAAATATCTCTAGACTTCTAGAATTTTTACAAAAACTCCTTAAAAATAGATTGAGACACAACAAATCTAAGTAAAATATTCACATCCTCATGAAAGTATCTCTAGAAGTTTCAAAAAATTAGATTTGACACTGTGAAGAATGGGATAATGTTAAACAAACTAGAAATTCTCAAAACATTCTAATCGATGTCTAAGCATATTTTGGAAAATTTTCATAGCATAAACATGAGATGCAACTGCAAGAATGCAACATACATTTAGTGTTAAATGCATTCGTGCTAGTTGCATCTCATCCTTTTGTCGTGGAATGTTTTGGAAACACATTTAGACATCAATCAAATGTTTTCGGGAGTTTTCTATTTTCCTAGATCTAAAGCAATACTTTTGAAGCTTCTATAGATATTTTCATGATACCTAAATAATTTATTTGTTCCTTTTATTGTCCGGAATCTATTTCTAGAATTTGTTTTGGATGGATTTTTTAGAAGCTTAGAATCAATTTTTGTTCTAAAAACCTTATAAGGTATTACTGAATTTTGTAACTAAAGATATTAAAAATCACTTTGAAAACAGATTCTATCGTGGACTTGGAGGTAATTTAAATTGTTTTATTTAAAACAGCGTGACGTAAGTTTTCTTATTCCTGCACCCCATAACCTAAGAGAAAATTAGTTCCTTGACCCTAAAAAAGCCGTGCTTAGTTTCTTGGCCCTTATTTGATTGAACTTGCTTATTTGGCCCTAAAACAAATTTTGTTTTTGGTTCTCAGCCCTTCCATTAGTTTGACAAGGTAACGGTGTTAAAAGCAACGCGAAATGACTCTTTTACCCCTGGCGCCGAATACACCACTACATAAGCCTACAGTAGAGTCATACAAGCCTTCTAGGCTGTCTACTATCAATAATTTCCTAAAATAAGGTATAATATTTTTTCAAACATGAAATTATTATATATATTTTTTATGCATAAAATTATTATTATTTATATATTTTTGGGAAATTATTTTATAAATATATATAATAATAATTTCATTCTTGAAAAAATAATTGTATCTTGTTTTGGGAAATTATTGATAGTAGCTAGGCTAAAAGGCCTATATGACTCTACTGTAGGCTATTGTAGTGGTGTATTTGGCGCCAGGAGTAAAAGAGTCATTTCGCGTTGCTTTTAACACCGTTACCATGTCAAACTAGCCGAAGGGCTAAGAACCAAAACGAAATTCGTTTTAGTGCTAAATAAACAAGTTTAATAAAAAAAAGGGCCCTGAAACTAATCAAACGGAAGTTCCATTCTGGCCCGAGCTCAACTCCCATCGATGGATAAGCCCACTTTTTTTTGGATGGATCAGCCTATCTGACACCACGTGAAACGGGCCACAGCCCACCGACGCCCCTCGGTTCCCCCGTCAGAGAGTCGTGTCTGAGTGTCTCAGTTCGCGAGCTCCATCCGGTCCGGCGTGCGGCACCCAAGAGCCACAGCCACCCACCTGGCCGGTGGCCGCTACACGCCGCGCTGCACAGTGCCTCTGCCTCCCTGTCACCCTGCCCACTTCTGACTTCTACCCACCCCCACTAGCTGCGAAGCCGCGCCCCCTTCCTCCCTCCGAGCACCTATTGGGCAGCGGGGTGGGCAGTCGAGCGAGCGAGCGAACTCACGGAAGGGTCGGGCATGGAGGCGAGCGGCGAGAGGGCTGAGGTGGTGCGGAGCCTGATGGAGGCGAAGGAGGAGTCCGGGAAGACCTTCTCGGAAATCGCCGCCGAGACGGGTCTCACCAACGTCTACGTGGCGCAGCTGCTGCGGCGCCAGGCGCATCTCAAGGCCGACACGGTGCCCGCGCTGAGGGCGGCTCTGCCCACGCTCACCGACGACCTCGTCCAACTCATGATGCAGCCGCCCTTCCGGTCCTACAACCCCGACATCGTCCACGAGCCCGCCATTTACAGGTGCGCCGCGCCCCAATCCCCTGTGCAAATGACGATGACGATGCCTCTTGCACTCCTTCAATTTGGTCCGGAATGTGATTCGTCAAGTAGGCACAGCGAAATCTTTGTTTAATCGGCTACTCCAAGCGCTATTAGGGTCTAGGTCTAGTTAGAAAAGGATATACTAGTTTTGCTCCAGGACCAGGACTTGTTGCGATTTAGTGAAGTTTGAAGTTTGAACTACTCTGTCTCAATCTCAAGGATTTGGGCACAGCTTTCCTATGTTTAAACAGACTTTTGTCATTTCAGAAGACTGACTCGGATTAAGGCCCTGTTTAGTTCCTCCCAATTTCCAGAATCCAGAATTCCAACTTTTTGGAAACCCCAAATCCAAAATCCAAGAAATCTCATGCACCGATTTAGCTCCACCCAAAATCAAGAATGGGAACACAAATATTACAGATTTGCCATGCATGCTGCTTCTTCTTCCAGCACAGTCGATGGCACCAGCTGCTGCTTCTTCCAGGCACCAGCTTCTTCTTCTTCCGTGCTTCTTCCCGCTCCACCACGTAGCTGCCCCGCCGCCAGATTCGGCGCGCCCACAGCGTCGCCCGCTGCTGCCCCCGCGCCACACCGCCACCGGAGCCGGCCCCGCCGCTAGATCCGCCCCGCCTCGTTGACGGCCCCGCGCCGCCGGCCTCGTTCTGCCCCATAGCCGCCCCGCCGCCAGATCCGGCGCTCCCCGGAGCCGGCCCCGCGCCGCTGGATATGCGCTGCCCCGGAGCAGGCCCGCCACCGAACGTGCCCTGCCCTGGAGCCGCCCCGCCGCCCATCCCCGCAGGCCTCGGAGCCGCCTCGCCCGTCCCCGCCGGATCTTGAGCGCCGCCGCCAGTGGGTGTAGGTGGAGAGGGGGAGGTGAAGGAGAGGGGGAGAGGAAGAAGAAGAGGAGACATCGTGCGAGAGAGTGGGCGAGAGAGCGTTCGCGGCCGGGGAGTTGCGAGCAAGCAGCGTGGCGGCGGCGGCCCGGAGACAGCGTTCGCGGCCGGGGAGTTGCGAGCGAGCGGGCGAGCAGTTGAGTGCGAGAGCACGTGCAATTGGGCTAAATTTGGGCTTATTTTGATCTCTGGACTCCAGAATCCATAATTCAGACTGGGTATGTTTTTCCAAAAAATCCTGGGTGGTGTTTAGATCCATTTCCCAGAATGCTGGCCCAAAATTCAGAATATTTTGGGTTTGAGGAGGAACTAAACAGGGCCTAAAGACGAGAGAAGCCAAAAAAAAAATTACCAAAATGCCCTGACAACAAAATGGACTTTGCTTAAAACTCTTGCACTAGTAGTCTTAAGATGTTCTCCGTATTGAGTTAGGAATTGCTGAATTTGTGTTAAAAAATGTCTACAGTCCAGAATCCACATACTAGGTAACTCCTAGTCTTAAGACAATGCCTTCCATCCTTGGTTTGGAATTTTCAGATTCTGCAAGTTCACATGTTGAGCTTGGCAGTCTTCAATATTATTCTTTTCGATAGCCTGATAACTAGAAACTGGTTCCAAATTGTAGTTCACCTTGGCCTTCTGGGTTTAGGATAACTTATTAACTTTAATCAAGTTTACAGGAATTTACACCAATATCTACAACATCAAATTTGTGTCATTAAGAGGCTGTTTGGTTCTAAGCCATAATTTTACATAACTAACCTTAGGCAAGTGTGGCAAGCCACAAAAAATGTTGCTAGAAAATTTGGAGCCATAATTTGCCGTGCCTAAGGGAATCCTGCTACACTTTTTTACTCTATGACATGTGGAGCACAAAAAAAAAATCTTATAATCTTACCTAAGTTTAGTTGCCAACCGAATACTTGCCGATTTGGTCAAACTTGCCTAAGCCCTAAGGTGAAGTACGGCAAAGTGTGGTTGGCAACCGAACACCCCCTAAATTCTCCATGAAATATATTTTGGAAGTGCATTTATTTGAACCTATTGATGTCAGTATAATTTTCTAAAAACAGCCTGATCGGAATTGCTGCTTGCAGCAGCACTGCTGCAGCCAACCTGCCTGCAAGTATAGTGCTTTGTAGAACAAAATAAGCAGCCACAACCGCTGCAGCGTCATGAAAATCACAGCCGAGCGGACCCAAACTTGGTCAAAGTTAATGAGCTTTGACTTAGGAAAAAGACAAAGTGAATTATAATTTGAAATTGAGGGAGTAGCTTTTATCTAGAACTTCGTTCGTTTATTCCAGTTTATCAGTACTAATCAGATATGAGAATAACCTTCCTATCAACATTGTTATTATATTGCACAGATTGAATGAAGCTGTTATGCATTTTGGAGAGAGCATCAAGGAGATCATCAATGAGGAGTTTGGTGATGGAATGTAAGAGATACCAGTGCTTCATTTTTGCATAAATTCCCATTCTTGGTAGTCTGACATGAACTATTGTGTGATATAGTTGGTATGTCCATTAGTTATGATTACGAGTGGATAATCCTTTAAAAACATGGACGCCTGGATTCACAATCGAGTTTTTTTTTTGGGTGCTATGTATGATGTTGCTGTGGTGTTTGCTTGTAGATATTTGTTAGGACGTGGAATGCTTAGAATTTTGTGCAACTTCATTTAAGCCTGAGCCTGACAAAACCTCCGTAAAAACACACTTGAGTATGTCCAGTTTGCAAATATATTAGTGGAAAACTGAAAATCCTGTCATGAAGCTCCATTGAATTATCTATCCCTTTTCTAAAAAAAAAATTGAATGATCTATCAAATGTTGAAAAAAAATTTATCATCTTTGCAAAAATGACTGTATTATCGTATTACCATTGCTTCTTATTGCAGCATGTCAGCCATAGATTTCTACTGTTCAGTTGACAAGGTTCAAGGGGCTGACGGAAAAGATCGTGTGGTGGTCACGTTTGATGGAAAGTATCTGCCATACACTGAGCAGGTTTGTGTCTTCCTGTTTTTCAGCTGCCACTCTGTTACTTGTTAGCTCATGGTGCTGAACTGCTGATCTGCTTGCTACCTGTATAATACCAAACATTTAGTTCTTTTCAGACTGTTAATATATATGCTACCAATTGAAATTGTACCAAATAAGTAGTCCTTGATTTAATTAGAATAGTCAACAATATATGTCGATAATATTATCACCTGACTGGCCCATCTGAATGCTTCACATCTGCAGAAATCTGAGCATATGATGTCAAGGCCAACCCGCAAGACATCTTGATATGGCTGGTGACGAGGAGAAACATGGTGTAGCTTGCCTTCGTATTGTTTGGGTACATTAAAGTCATGGTTCTACCATTACCCTTACGGGGTCTCCGACAATAATAATACCATGATTGTTGAACTGCATTGGATGATGCGGAGATAAATAAAAAGACAAGATAAGTGAAACAAACCGAATTCCCGAAAGGAATTCTGCCTCTGATAGCTTAGTCCTAGAAAAACATCTACCGTGTACCGGCTCCAGAAGATATCACATCACCTGCCATTGCTGGGTACCAACTACCAAGTCATTCATTCTTCAGAGTTTATTAGGGTTTAGTGTGGTTGAAAGTATGAAATCCCTGAGCTATCAGTGACCATCGCTGTGGTTGTTGGTGGGCTCAAATTCTGAAAGTAGCGTCAAGACTATGCCAACACGTAGAGGTGTTGGGCCATGTTGTGCTTGCTTGGCTCGGCCTCTTGTGCTTTGTGTACCTTCAGACCTTACTTCTAGTCATACAAGGCGCATTGGGTTGTGCTATGCCGTCACGACAAGTCTTTCCTTTTAGCACAAATACAGTCCATGGCCCGCCGGCCACCTCTATGCCATGTCGGCCCAAACACGTTCTCATGATATTTTTGCTTGTTTTGTTCGTGTACTCGTAACTTAAAAGGTATATTTTGTATGCACCATTTTTTATTAAAAGTTCCAATGATTTTCATACCCATTCAAGAATTTGAGTAAATATATGATAATAATTCTAGGCAATTGCATTATAACATTATAGACGTGCTTATATGCCATTTTTGTGTTGTGCCGGTTCAATCACGGTCTAAAATATGGGTCTCGTCACGTCACCCATTCGTGTTGAGTTTCTAAGTAAAGCACGACCTAAAATTATTCCCGTCGTGCCATACCAAAAGATTGTGCCACAACCTGACTTCAAGTGGCATGGTCCGAATCCTATCTCTACCAACACGTGATTACATAAAACCGCAAAAAATACGATAAACAAACAACGATAATGGTTAGAAAAGTAGATATTCAGAAAGAAAAAAAAAAGGTAAAAAGGTACAGTCCCGATTGTTTTTTTTAATTGGATATCCTCAATTAACCATAGCTATTTATATTTATTTATTGAGAAGGGAGGGCTTGTTCCATGTTGGATTGAAATTAAAAAAAAAACAGCATCTCAAATCGACCTAAACCAAACCAAAAAGAACTAGTCCAGAGAAGAGAGCAATGCCCCGACTTGTCCTGCAACCAGGGTGTACGGTCCGAGATGTGAAGAAATAAGGTGTCAAGAACTTACAAGATAAGGTGTGTGATGTATGCTAGGATTGATCTTGATACATATGTGAAGCACATAGTAGACAAAAGAGAAGTTATTGAAACTAACTTTGCTCAACTTTACTCATATTCAGCATGACTTGATTTCACAGAAATCAACAATAATTGTATCTTGAGTTATGCTCCAGTAGACCTCCCAAAAGAATTTGCACGGATCTTAAAGCAATCTAGTTTTAAATAAATTCTTTTTAATTAATTAACCCACTGGTCTCGTATAGGCCTGGCCCATCCATACCCATCTGAGCCCGCCCATGTCCACCAGTTCAGATTATCGTGGTCCGTTACTATTTCGTGTTTGTTCTTCGTCTAATAGGAACCCGGAGCAGGTGTGGCACACAGAGAGGCGGCGAGTCGGCAATAGAGCGGCCGCATCGGCGTTGCGGCAGGGGTGACAGCATGCGCTGGGAGTGGCCGGTCAGCTCAGCACCGCCGCTAGCTCCTACTACCCAGGCTTGGAGCGCCCTCTCGACATAGGCGGCGATAGCCAGGGAGAGGTCCATGCCTCCGCATCGACCTACACGCCAACCTCAAGATCCCACCAAGATTGTGTACTTCAGAGTTCAGATGCAAATCAGGAAAAGGTGGTAGAAGCATGTGGCCTCGCTTCGATCATAGAATGGCAGCACGAGCGATTGCTATAGCCTATCAGCGTCAAAGAATGCAGCAGCCAACGCCGCCCTGTCGAGAGGGAGTTGTGTCCCAACCCACGAAATGTAGTCGCCGCCGTACGTCCGACTCTGAACGTTGAACGCAGAACGCTCATACCTTGCCACCATGGTGGTACTGCCGCCGCCTCCGCGTGCCGTGCCGTGCCATGCTGTCGATTGGACGAAAGAAGAATCAGGCGATACATCAAAGTAGCGAGATCCTGTGATCCACAATAATCGGAATGGGTGGGCATGGGCCGGATTCGATGGATAGGTTTGGGCCCTACATGACCGTGGGTTAATCAGTTAAGAAGGATTTAATTAATATTAAGCTACTTTAAGATGCGTGCAATTTTTTAGGAGGTCCACCGGAGCAAAACTCTTGTATCTTTCTGAAACTTATTACAATCTACCTTCAATTCTAATGTTTTGTCTATACCTTAAATAAAGAAAATGCTTTGTCTATATGGCTTTTCGGTTGCTGTTATGTGCACTTAGGGAAAACATATTATTGGAGTTGGCTGGAAGGAGAGAAGACAAAAGAAAATGTAATCTGAATCCACATGAAGTCGGCATAGTAGAAGTTTCATTTGATCCCATAATCTGAAAACGTATTATTAGAGTTCCGGCTTTAATTTGTTCGTTTCTCATCGATCTGGTAATCTCGCTCTAGTACTTGAGATTTATTCTGTGCACGACACGTGCGCCGCTCTTTTGTTTAACGATGATAACCTACCTATGCTACTAGATTATTTCATTCCGCTTATCAATTTGTGCATGTGCGCAGGGCGAGTACCGCTGTCGAGGAGCGCTTCAACATGTCGCATGGTGGCTCCCAGTGGCGGCCAAGCCTACGCGGCACTTCTACCGGACCTGGACTTCCACCCGGACCTGGACTTCCACGTCAACGTGACTACGGATCGCTGGATCTAGCACCATCCCATCCTCGATACGGCGGCAATCATGTTCAAGATCATTGTCACCGCCGAGCCCGACGATCGCGTCTACGATCCTTCTTCGTCAGGTCGGACAACTTCTACGTGACTGGTTTCTCAAACAAGTACGTCAGGTTGTTCTCCTTGAAGGGATATTAGTATAGCTTGGCCTCTCCTATGCTCACCGGCGGTAGGGGGCTTGAGCCCCCACCCCTACCCACAGCTAGATCCGCCCTGCACAGGATGCCCCATCCATTGAGATCACACGGTTTGGTGTCATCACGGCACAGGGCGCCCTGTCTGCTGTTAACCCCATCCTTCAGCCCGCGCGACATGCGACTAGTACTGTTGTGACCAATGCAAGCCGGTATGCTGGCATATGTTTGTGCAAACTCTAGGGAGCGGATGATGAATAAAATAAAATAAAGTGGAGACTTGAACCAAGCATTCTCTCTGTTAATTTGGCCCTGTTCGTTTCGCTAAAATTTGACTTATGCTGATTTGTTGTAAGAGAAAAACAATATCCATTCGTTAAAAAGTACTGCTGAAATAGTTCACCATGCTTAAGCTCATCTCTCATGGAGTCCCCACACCCATGAGGAGAGAGAAAGAGGGGGGGAGGGAGATGGGGGAGAGAGGAAAGAGAGATCAAGATTGAAGAGGATGGAAGGATCACTTGAGAGAGGCATTGTAACACAAATGTTTATTTAGTTGTTTGAACAGCCCAATATGTCCAAATCCTGGCTCCGCCCCAAAGAATTTTAACCTCTCAGGACTGCTTTTGAATAACATTGACTGGATTTTAGCTTTTGGCTATTGGCTTTTGGAATAAGTTTTTAGCTTCTCAACATACCAAAAGATAGTTTCAGCTTTTAATTTAGAGTAAATATTTATCTGCTCAGATACCATGTTTTCAAAAAATAACTCAACAGCTAGGCTGAAGCTTAATCAAACAGGCCCTTAGAAGGTTGAGAGCTTCAAGAGGCTAGGCCTTAGAATTTTTTAAGGCACACAAACTGGGTGCTAAAAACAATGAAGCTGCGGGTTCGGTGTCAAATATCAAAATTTGTTGATATACCTCCTCTGGTGTTATGGCAATGTCTCAAACATCTTAGGAACCAAACTGCAACAGATATTAACAAAAGAATACGCTGGTATCGCTTTCGTTTAGTGTGAAACTTGTCCTAATAACGTGTAATATTTGGCATCTAATGGTTGAAATTTTGACTGTGTAACAGTTCTACAGCTGCCACCACGACACCCTTTCCTTGTGAAAAGATGTCAAGTCCGGGTTCTTCAATCTTTTTCTGAAGGAGTATGTCCAATTCACCTCTTAATTTCTGTTAAATGCAAATAAGTCCCAAGTTAGAAGAATATATAGCTATATAATCTAATCCTAAACTACTTAATGCGGCGATCAATTTTCGTTGAAGACCAGGGTATAAATCAAGTATGTGCATGCACAGGTACATGTGTTAACTAAAATGAATGGTAGCATCTTACTACATTCACTAGAATGAACTTGGGATACTAAAAATGTCATGATATCAGTAAATGCAAACACACACACACACACACACACACACAAAGGAAACTTCACAGTTGGAGGGCAGTGTTTCCAACAGAATAAAGAATTTAGACACTTAGCGAGCACCAACAATATTTAAACAAAAAGCATAAGGGCGTGTTTGGGTGAGAGGGGTTGCAACAGAATATTTAAGATTCAATTCAAAAGGATTTGAACCTAAATAGACAGTATCCAAACAGGGCCAAGAATTGTAAAGTGCGAGGTAGAAAAACAACTTTTTTAGCAAAAATAACACAATCAATTAAAGATAATTTTTTTTTCAAAGTTGAGACAATATGTTGGAGCGGAGCTGGCTATACCTGAATCAACTCTATGGTACGCTTTGGAGCCGAGAAATGAAGATAACCCCCAAGCATCTCAATGCTTTCTCCAGTTTTGCTCGGACTAAGCGAACCACCAAAAAGTAGAAGGGCATAGTCCGATATATTTGTCGAGTCCCTTACATAAATGCTAGCAGTTTTCACCTTCTCACTATAAACCAAGAAAGGTAACGGGAATTGGTTTACGAATGCATTGACTGATGATGGATGAATATCCACTTTCCCCACATCTTTGGTGTAGAAAGCAGTCCTCTTGCCTCGCCTTTTGCATTGCACAACATTTGGGTAAAGCCCAGCGCATAAAACAGCGCAAATCATCTCCAGATTCATTACCATAGTGGTTATATGCCTGAAGTTATAGCATGGAAGTAAGAAGCCACCCTGAACTATTTCAAAAATGTAGAGAATTATATGTCCCATAATTCACAAATATTTTATAGATTTAGTTATTAGGCAACAATCAAAATATTGTGATATTCAAGTAGGTGGTAACAGAGGATGCACATAATAACACATAAAACACCTAGATGCACCAGGAATTAAAATATCAGAAAATAAGGTTTTGGTCCATGAAAGAGATTCCAGTTGGGGGTGGTTGTGGTGGTGGTGTGGGTGGGTGGGGTACGCCTCCGATCCCAAATATAAGTCCCTCTACATTTCTCTCAAATGCACAAAATACAAGTCCATGATAACTCCAATGCACTTTTTGCTTCATTCCTTCATGTCTACCTCAGGCATGATATGCTACTAGTGTTCATGAACTACATGTTTGAAATAAAATAGAAGTGCATGGTAAAACAAGCTAACATAGTTATATAATTAGATCAACTACATGTTTCAAATGAATACAGCTGTACAATTAGATCAATGGCATGTTTGAAATGAAAGAGGGCACATAACCTTCACTCCTGTTGTCTTGCTAACAAACCCAATATCAGATAGTAGATCAAAAAATTGATTTCGCATGTCATCCATCATCTTCAGGGTCATGGAGGACAGAAAATTTTCCCAACAGAAAGTGCGCTCTCTACCACTCCTTTTAGCCTCCTTCCATGCTACAAACGCCTTAAGAAGAGCAATGTGGTCACTGGAAAAGAATTTGCAAGAAATTATCAGCCAGACATAAGCAACTTTTGCATGAAATTGGTAATGAGTGTCATCGAATAGCTCCCAGCTATCTACATCTGCATGTTTGTCTCTAGCAACCAGTGTCCGAAAAAAACGTCATTAAATGCTCGCTTAGGAACTAGGCAGAGACCTAGCACGTCGCCTAGGCCATAGGCGTCCAATTAAACATAGCATAACTGTCAGAACCCATGGATGATGAAGGAAGAGAAGAGACGAGATTATGATGGCAAAATGGTTTGTTGTTGTGATTCCATCTATGCTCGATTTCGCTTACCCTCTGTTCAATTTAGCCCATTTTGCTCGATTTCTCCAAAGGGTCATGTGTGGCTGTGTGCAGCCAAAGGGGGTGCCACGAAAGGGGGAGAGGACGAGGTGCGCACAGACGGAGTAGAGGTGGGGTGCATGGAGGAGCAGACAGAGCGCAGGAGAAGAGGTGGTGTGCCATGGAGAGATGGATGGGGGTGCACAGGCAGAGGAGAGGCGGCGTGGCTGCGTGAGAATGGGGATTGTCTACTGACTGGAAATCTGTGGTGGTAGGGCATCGCTGGGTGTTATGGTGTTCAGATGGGCTAGTGGGCTTCCTCCCCTAGTGGGCTCAGTGCGCTATTATGGCATTGCTCTTCCTTTTCTATTTATTGTCACATTTATGCAACTATAAATCTCTTGATATGTAGCTAGTGTATAAACGCTTAATCATGTTTAATCTACGTTTAGATGTCCTAGGCGCTAATCGGTGGCTTAGAGCCTAGCTCCTTTTTGAACCTTGCTAGCGATCAAAGGAACTATCCTACAGGTGCTATAAGTGAAGAAGCATCAGCAGTACTCAGTAAAGCATGCTGGCAATATACAAGAATCACTTGGGATCTGCCCCTTCCTTTCCTTGACATGGTGAATCAAGCAAAGCAGAATTTTGAGCACTCCATGGAAAATTTCATGATTTCATCATAGACGCTGGGAATACTTGGAACCAACACAATGATACTTCCAAATTGTAGGTATTTTGATTGAGTTTGTCCTAGTCAAACTATTCTAACTTTGACCAAGTTTATTGGAGAATGGATCAACATCTAGCACATCAAAATAGTTTCATTAAACCAAACTTGAAATATGCATTGATAATACATTTATTTAGTTTTGTAAATACATATTTGACTATAAACTTGGTCAAAGTTAGAGAAGCTTGACTTGGCACAAAACTAAAACAACTTTACAATTTGGAACAGAGAGAGTAATAAGCAGCCCATCCTTGTCTTGGAAGAAAGGCTTCTCTGATGACATAGATTGATAGATACTTCTAGAACCTTAGGCATGGCTTGGCTAGATAGCCTCCCCTATTATCCTTTGTATCTATACAGCATCTTGTACAGTTTTTTTGTACATACAATAATATAGCTACCACAGTAGGTGTTTACCCTACTGTTCCACTCAAGAAAATGGTACGCCCTCCGTTCCAAATTGTAAGTCGTTCTAGCTTTTCTATAGATATGTAGCTTTTACTATGTATCTAGACATAATGTATACCTAGGTGCGTAGAATAAGCTATGAATCTAGAAAAGCTAACTACTTATTACAATTTGAAATGGAGGGAATAGTAAACAAATTAGAAATACCAACTAATCAGGTACCTCAAAAAACATCCTTATACGTTCCTTCAATCCTTAATATTAATATCAAAGTGGCAGAATTGTTTACAATAATTACCTGCAGGAGTCACCAGCAAATGATCTTTTGACAGCATCAGCTTCTTCTTTTCTATCTATTGGGAGCACAAATGGATTACGATATGCGAGAGCAGCAGCAATTGTCAATACTGGATCCAAGCACTGGAATACAGATCCCATAAGCAGCATTTTCCCAATGTTTGGGTCCAGTGGGAGAGTACAGAGATGTCTCCCTGCACAAAACCAAAGTAGATTTGAGAGGTTCATGTAAACAGCTGGAATAAAATCAAATAGACAAAAACTCTTATATGCAGGTTAGCTGAAAATTTTCATACCAAGAGAAGTGAGTTCCTCCGTATCATCCAGTGCACCAATGGCTTTAAGAAGCTCAATTGCATTCTTAACAGAAAGTGGATCTGGTGGCTGCAGTGACTTGGCTAAAAAGGAGGATACTGCTCCAAGCTGTAAGCTTTTGATGGTAAGGCATAGTTCTTGCAAAGGAGTCCTGAGAATTTCAGGCAACTGAAACTGTGGCATTGCATCATGAATGATCTTTGGATAGAGCCGATAGCAAAAGCCTGGCTGAACGCGGCCTGCGCGACCTCTCCTCTGTGAACAAAATAAAGAGAGAGAACATCTGTTAATGGACTTTTCATGTCTGCAAAGAACCTAGTTATATATTGTCAGCAGTAAGGTACCTGATGAGCAGAAGCTTTTGATATCCATGACGGAAGAAGGCATGCCAGCTTATTCAAGGCATCATAGCTTGTCTCCTTGGCCTTACCACAATCAATCACATAGACAACATCATCTATAGTGATACTACTCTCCGCAATGTTGGTTGCCAAAACAATTTTTCTGAAATTACAAACAAATCGTTAATAGACAATAAGAAAAGTAAAAGAATCTAAAGTTACTCAACAAGAACATCACTGTCTCAAAGGAATTGCTAACCATTTATAAAGAGCTGCAATTAGTTCAAATAAAGAGAAAACATTCAGAAATCAGAACAAACAGAATAGCTATTTAGCAAAACCCAGAAATAATGAGAAATGAAAAAAAGCAAATATTGTAGAAAAGAACAAATACTTTGAAGCAGCACACATTGCTCAAAAGGATACTGGAAGGGACATGGCAGAAGTCAATTCTTGCTTAGTGACAAAAAAAAGAAAGTAGTTTTGTAACTTCAACTCTATCTATGAGCTACATATGCGGCATAACAACATTTTATAATCAAAGTACTAACAATGATAAGGATCACAAACCCAGTAGTCTTCATATAGTGGTGGAAAGATGCCAAAGGTATGCAGATAAAAAAAAGAAAACCTTGTCTAAAACACATTAAGGATATGTAGCATGATCATATCCAGAACACACTGAAGATTCTAGCATGTGTTTGGTTTGGGGACTAGAGGGGATGGGATCTTCCCAGCCTGTGTTCTGGATTACCCCGAGACAGAAGACAACGGCGTCGAAAAGGGATTACCCCACCCGCTTGTTTTCAGGGGATGGGGAGAACCCGAATCTAAGGGGAATATTCCCCTAGGAGACAGACTCATCCCTTGTCGCCCCTCAACCAAACACTTGCTGAAAGGGGACCGACCCATCCCATTCCTCATCATCCCAGGAACCTAGCACATGACTATTTTCTCAATGAGTAGCTAAGTGGCTCACCTCATACTAGCTGGTGGTCTGTCAAAAATTTCACGTTGATTCACAGTTGGCATAGAACCATGCAAAGGAAGAACAAGAAATCTATTAGGACTGCCAAGGAAATTATTGCCTTTAATCTTGTCCAGAAGCTTTGAAATTTCATCCCAGCCAGTAAGGAACACAAGGATTGCACCTTCTGCTTCATAACGGCAAATATACTCGATTGTACTTTCCACCTAAAATGTCAACATAGAGGTGTTAGCAGCAACTATTTTTCCTGGATATGGTTGGCAGTGTATTAGGTTTAAATAATAATTCTTGTGCACAAATGTGAACACAGTACAGCCATGCAGTTAACTAATGTGACAAGGAAAAACATGAAATAAATTAACTCGGAACAACAGAAATTACTGTTTAGGCACAGGACAATACTTGGATGGGAACTTATTGACATGGTGCTAAGGTAACACCATAAAAAGGGCGTACCCAGTGCAGAGAGCTCCCGCTCTGTGCGGGGTCTGGGGAAGGGTGTCAGTGGCAAGCCTTACCCTCGCTTGTGCAATGCGAGGAGACCGCGACTCGAACCCGGGACCTTCCGGTCACAGGCGGTAAGACTCTACCGCTTGCACCAGGCCCGCCCTTCTGCTATGGTAACACCATACTATAATGTATTACGTCAGAGCAAGACTGGATGAAATAACGAAGCAGGAAATCAGAAATATCCTCAATGATGAAGAGAAGGGACGTCTATGGTTCTCTAATGAATCATGTAAAGCAAAAGGTGAAAAAATTAAGCATGGAGGGTGTACAGAAAGCTTCTTCACCAATTACTCCAGTATTTCTCACAAACATCTGACAAACATACAGTCTATTAACTGTTTGGTGAATGGCCCCATGATATTTTGAACAATAATAACTATGACGTATATTCACTTGAATGCAATTTTACATGTGTGAAGCAAGTGTAGCAACAAGAATTATACAAAAAAAACATGACTTCCAGCTACTTGAGGAATTAATAGATGCATTTCAATTATATAAAAAATGCACAGTACTTACAAGGCTCAAATCTAGTTCAGCAGCAGACCAAGCTTCAAGGGACTGCCTTGTTGTAATGTTGTAATTTCCATACTCCTTATTAATGTCAATGTTCTGGAAAAAAAAAACCACAGTGAGCAACCAAAATGCACTTTGTGTGAAAACTAAGCAAAATGATTTCTGAAAGGATTGTTTTCACAGTTTATATTTTTTTATCTATCTGTACTTGCAGCTGAAGTGCTGAATCGGTGTGCCACAATGCATATATCATAAGTACACAGCTAGACTAATCCATGCTCATCAGTACTAAATTGACTAATTGAGGGGAAAAGAAGTTCAAAATCGAAGTTTACCTCAAAAACATCAGACAGTGGATCACTCTTAACTGATGAAAACCTCTTTCTCCTTGAACTACCTGCAAAATTATCACGTTCGGAATTGATCCTGTAACGAGTCTTTTCTAGAACATCTTCCAGAAACAACTCAGCAACAGGAAAAGTGAACCCCTGCTCAAAACACCTCAATGTAAATATATAACATCCAGACACAATCAATCATGTCTTCAATTTGATGTTGTTCATGAAACATTACAGTACCGGGAAGTACTTGGAAAATAGTTCAGCATTTATAGTTGCACTCATCAGTACAAGGCGAAGATCTGGACGTCTTGGTAGAAGGTCACGCAGTATTATGATGAGAAAATCTTCATTCATGCCGCGTTCATGAATTTCGTCAACTAGTAAATGACTCACCCCAATTAAGTCAGGCTCTTGAAACTGCAATTTATATACTGTTTGCAGTAAATTCAAACCTAACGAAACTAAAATGAAAGCATACAAAAAAAAACAATCAGGTGCATTAAATTGCATCAGCAAGTGTTAAGGTAGGCTGAACTGAGCAAAATATTCCAGCAATGGTATTCCTAGGTATGGAGATCATAAGTCAGGTAACTAAAAGTACATGGGCGTAAATTACAAAATCAGCTACTGCAAGAGATGAGTCACAGTGCTAGAGTGCACAGAATATTTTCACTCGTAGTTACAAAGAAACTTAGTCCTGCAACTTCTGCAAGAAAGTTTATACTATCAATTCTGGAGCTGCCTCCAAGTAAGTTATTTAGAACAAAACTACCAGTGCTCCTACACAACAAAGAGCAACAATCTCTATCCACTACTCCCACCATTCCTGTATACTTGTCCACAGCATATCATGCGCACAGACCAAAGAAATACTAGTTCCAAAAAAAATCAACGTGAAATGACCATCTATAACCCTATTAAATCTAATAATATAGCCACTTTTCTTCTACTGGAGCATTTAATCAGGGGTAGAGAGTGGAAATACTAGAATGGCTACACTCTTAGCGTTTTCTCCCAAAGCCATGGACAAGTATACGAGAATGGAGGGAGTAACAAATAAAGAAAAAGGAAAGATTTACTTCAATTTTAATTCTGAAAGCAGATAAATGAAAACAAGCAGTGATCATGTGGCCAAGTCATCTCAAGATATGAATATGCAAACTATTCTACCAATGAAGGCATACCAGTCTTCTAAGCAAAACTCCGGTAGTGCAGAACAGCAACCGTGTTTGTGCAGATCGTTTTGATTCAAGGCGAATCTGGTATCCAACAGCCTCGCCAAGTTCGTCACCTCTCTCAGCAGCTACTCTTGCTGCTACTGAAACAGCAGATATACGGCGGGGCTGAGTACAAATTATGCTGCAGTCAGAACCGCGGAGGTTATTTATTTCTTCTTCTAGTATGAACTGTGGAAGCTGGGTTGTTTTACCGCAGCCTGTCTCGCCAGAAATGACCAGAACCTGATACAGGAAAGCTCAACAAGTTAAGAGTGGAAAAAAAAGGAACCAAATGGACAAACTAATAAGAGCAATTCGTTCACAAAAAAAATAAGAGCAATTCTAGAATTATACAGATACACAAGCTAAACGTGCAATCAATATCACAGCAAGCATGGATAATCACCACTTGTGTCAGCAGTTGTGCATAAGAAATGCTGAGAACACATGTCAATTATGTGATTATGTCCATCAATTCACAAATTATTTCACATGTCAATTGTGTGATTATGTCCATCAATTCACAAATTACTTTTTGAACAAAGGGGAAACAAATAACCACTAAGAACAACAGAGCATAAAATGGAAGATGCTGGCTACTAAGGCTATAAACCACGAATTGTACAGATAGAACGTTCAGATCATGGATACAACAACAAAAATACAACATTGGAGCAACGGCGAAGTAGAACAAACATTGGAGACAACTTACCTGATTGGCTGCCACCGCTTTCAGAAATTCCTCTCTCATGCTGAATGCAGGTAATTTCTCCCTGAAAGATTGCATTGATCTAGCACTTGCTGTCGTCTGAAATAAAATACAGATGGTGGGATCCCTGAAGAATGCTCACGGATGTTTTTAAGGGACGGAAACGGAGGGGGGCCATGGTCACAGGCAATACCTTCCTTGAATTTTGCAAATCCCTAAGTTGAGAACTGAGCTTTTCTTTATCAATTGGTGCTGCTGGTTCAACAACAGACGAGGATGCGCTAGGCAAAAATTGTCTCATTGAGACAGTAGATGTGCTTGCAGAATTGTTGGTGTTCCACTTTGACCTGGACAAAAGGTCTTCGACTCGCACCTCTGTCTGATTAGACATCTTAATCTGCCCCAGTAAAAATATAAACAGTGATCAGGAAGATGACACATAAAATAATGTTATTATAAAGTATCAATCAGACGCACAGTACCTCTTTTTGTGTTGACCCATGCCTGTCGTCCAGATCTGCTCGATAATCAGGTAAGGGTACCTTGCTGAAAACAAGTGTCTTCCCTCTGTTGTATGCATTACTATCTTCCCCAGGTTAAAATGCAAACCAGGTAAAGTAGAATTTGTCAGCTTTGAAGTGTGGTTCATAGGCAAAACAGTAGGTATCAAATGGTGCAAAAAATAGATTGAACTACCAAACTTTAAGGCATTGCATCTATTCTTGCGAATGAAGAATGATCATAAAGATGTGAAGTGATGAACAGGCATGATTGATCCTTACAAGTAAAGCCCTTGTCTCTGAGCCATGTTTGCAAGTATATTCTGTCCATCCCGTCCAAAATTCTGCTTGACTACTAGCTCCTGCTGGGACCCTTCTCTTAATTGCCCAATCTTGTTCCACCATTCATTCTCATCAACCTTTTCCACCTGAAGATTGTGAGCACGCAAAACTTTGTAAGTAACTACTACAAGGTGAGCAAGAGCTTATTTGATGTGTACAACAAGTGGAGCAAATTTACTGAAACAATGAATCTCAGGCCAACTGCACAGCACAATAGGCGAAGTTTACCAAAGTGGGCAGAGAGAATAGCAGTATGGCATGCTCAACTGATGATATCCCTAACATCATATTAGAGCTAATAAATAGGTTGTATCAGAAGAGATGTAACCAAATCGTGTTTTATGATGGATCCAACTGGCAGTTCCACCAGTGCATCAAAGCAAGCAGCAATCAGAGTTTGAAACTGTGGAAGTAGGACTACAAAGTGTGGGGAAACTACACTACAGGGCTGCACACATTCAGCCTGTTCGCTGGTTGGTTTCTGGGCTGATAAGCCCGGCGGGTGCTGGTTTGTTGTGAAAGGAAAACATTGTTGGCTGGCTGGAACCAACGAGCGAACAGGCTGATTAACTTGGTCGTTAAAAGGTCAAAAAAATATTAAGGAGACACGGAACTCGGGGTAAAAAGAGCCAAATCAAATCGACCTATAGAATGGACCGGAGGTAATACTATCTAGGAAACTTGACCGGTAGTATTAATCAAAGGTGCTGCTAAAGTCTGTAATGCAGAATTCGGAACATATATAAATTAAAAAAAATAGCATCATCGTGGCATCGCGATCCATGAATTCCGTCAGCAGGGCGGCAACATATAACAACGAAACAACCAATTCCATCACCACGCGAGGCACGGGAGAGTGTCCTTACATCCCCATGCATCTGCCGGAGGCGCTCGGCGCGCTACTCTGGGTCCCACCACCTCTGCTCCCCGCGTCCCCCGACGCCGCCGCCGCGGCCTCCCCTGCCTCCGCCACCGCCGCGCCCGCGCCCGCGGTGAGAGTTGGGCCCGCCGCCCCCGCGCCCTCCGCGGTACGACATGACAGCTAGGGTCCTGAGCGTACCTAGGGTTTTGAGGGGGGTGGACGCGAAGCGGGAGAGGAGGAACTGGCTGCTGCCGCCGCTGCTGCTGCAAGAGGAGAGGACGCGGCTGCCGCGGCAGGCAGAAGAGTGGAGGAGCATCCGGGTCGTCCCAAGGAGAAGCGGAAATAAACCGGGCAAAAAATATTGAGTGCAAAGTGGGTTCTCAGTGCAACCTTGCAAACTCATGCAACGTCCGATCCGAAATGTGCGGCACACGTGAATCGCTCTTGCTACATGGAACACCCTGTTCGAAGGAACATTTGTACAACAGTCCTCCCATCTCCAGCAGCTCCAAACCTCCGGTTCTCCACCATGTCTCGGCCCAGGCTCCAGGTCCACCGTACTGCTTTAGCTAGGGTTTAGGCCAGGGTGACGGTTCCTCACCATTCCAGTCTTCTCCACGAGACATGATAGAGAGAGGTTTTTTTTGGTTGATACCGTTATCTCTTCTACTAAAACATTCGTAACTATAGTGTCCACAGGTGCGACACCAAAGCCGCTCACTCTCATGCATCCCCGGGTGCAACACCAAAGCCGCTCGCTCCCATGCATCCACCCGTGCGGCAACCTCCGTGATCTCCTGCGCCTCCAAACACACTTCCTCCGATCAGGCTCCTTCCAAATCACGACCATCACGTGGAATCAGGAACCCGCTACAACAAAAGGAAAATACCCTGATCAACACAATCAATCCCATCACCATCGCCCCCAGGACCAATCACGCGAGCATTAATACATCATATGATCACCTCAACCTCGTGTGCAGCCCTCGCCACTTGCCCCGCCCCCCTTGCGCGCCACCCTCGCCTGCAGCCTGCCACTCGTCCTCAGCAACTGCATCGCCCTAAGCCAGAAGCCCGTGATCCGGCGCTGCCTCATCCGACGTCGCTATCGTCCTCGAGACAGCCTCCACAGCCATGACCGAATCAAGGACGCCACCGCTTCGACGTCCCTGCACTACGGTCTACGCCACCAACCATCCGCGGCCACAACACCTTGCTCCGTCGCTGTCGTCCTCGAGCCGCCCTCCACGGCCATGACCACCACGCGGAAGTGAGGTCGCCGCTCAGACGTCCCTGCTCTGCTTCACAGCATTCTGCATCCTTCACGGCAACGGTGAGCAGTCCGAACCCTAGAACCTCGTGTCCCCATCACAGACGTCACGGAACCACCAGCACATACCTGGTTTTCCTTGCCACCGTCGACACCACCGCGCGAGAAGAACAACTGCCCCGCCGTTTTACCGGCCGCGGGAAGCACGGCCGAGCCGTGGGCTCGCCGACGCCTCTGATGCTTCGCGCAAGGCGCAAAGGGCACCACCACGGTGCCGCTCGACGGCGCCACGTGCGGCTCCGGGCGCCCGCGTGCCCGGCGAAGAGAGCCATGGTCGCGCCACCACCTCCTCGTCGCGTCCGCTCTTGAGTTCGACTACGTCGGCTCTCAAGTGCGGCGAAGACAGAGAACAGGAGGGAAGAAATGGGTGCTAGGGTTTCAGGGGGAGCCACGGGCGGGGTTTTGATCTTTCAAAATGGATGCTCGACTGTCGGATGCAAATCGACGACCGCCGTTGCTCCGGGCATGAACAGGCCCAGGCGGGGAGTGAGATTGCCTGCCCAGGCCCAGGTTGCGGCCACGGGCCGATTTTGCCAACTAGGCCATCGGCGCGGTGGAGAGGGGTGTTTGCTCCTGGGCCGTGGAGAATGAGCGCGCACGCAGTTGCAGAGCAGGCCGTGGGCCACGTTTTTGAGCTGCTGGGCTAAATGACAACAATTTGATTGTTTAGGTACATATGAGTTCATAGGTATATGCATAAAATATTATCTCTAATTTAGCAAAATAGGAGAAGGGTCCTAATAGCTAGAGGGGGGTGAATAGCCTAATAAAAATTTCTACAATAACACTTAACAAACCGGTTAGATAATTATGAGACGAAGCAAGTGTTGCGCTAGCCTACTAAAAATGCAAGCCACCTACCACAATTCCAGTTTATATGATTTCTATCCATGCAATAACTATGTCACTACACTAAGTTAGTGCGCCCTCAAATGCTAACTAAAGAGCCACACTAACCAAACTAATAAGCTCTCACAACTAGCTACACTAAAGAGCTTGACAACTAGTTTGCGGTATTGTAAAGAAAGAGAGCAAGATAGTTATACCGCCATGTCGAGGAGTGAACCAATCAATCACAAGAGTCAATATCAATGAAGACCAATCACCTCGGAATTAAATGATGAATACAATGATTTTTTATCGAGGTTCACTTACTTGCCAGCAAGCTACTCCTCGTTGTGGCGATTCACTCACTTGGAGGTTCACGCGCTAATTGGCATCACACGCCAAACCCTCAATAGGGTGCCACACAACCAACATAAGATGAGGATCACACAAGTCATGAGCAATTCACTAGAGTACCTTTTGGCTCTCCACCGGGGAAAGGTAAAGAACCCCTTACAATCACCACGATTGGAGCCGGAGACAATCACTACCCTCCGCTCGACGATCCTCGCTGCTCCAAGCCGTCTAGGTGGCGGCAACCACCAAGAGTAACAAGCGAATCCCGCAGCGAAACACGAACACCAAGTGTCTCTAGATGCAAACACTCAAGCAATGCACTTGGATTCTCTCCCAATCTCACAAAGATGATGAATCAATGATAGAGATGAGTGGGAGGGCTTTGGCTAAACTCACAAGATTGCTATGTCAATGCAAATGGCCAAGAGAGTGAGCTTGAGCCGGCCACGGGGCTTAAATAGAAGCCCTCACGAAATAGAGTCGCTGCACCCCTTCACTGGGCACAACGCGGGGTGACCGGACGCTCCGGTCCCTCTCTTCAAATGTTGATCGCCCAATCTCAACGGTCAAGTGATAACTGGACGCAGCAGCTCAAAGTGACCGAACGCTGAACCCCAGCGCCCTTTCATTTCCAGTAAGCATCCAGAGACGACTTTTCATGACCGGACTGCTCGACCGGACACACCCAGCATCCGGTCACACGGCGACTCCCCTGTGCGCTGCCACATCAGCAGGACCGGACGCAACCTTCCAATGTCCGGTCACTAAGTGACCCAGCGTCTGGTCATAGACCGACACCAGCGTCTTCATGCTCCATCTGACCGGACGCGCCGGTCCTAACGAGACCAACGTCCGATCACTTACAGTGACCTCCGTCTTTTCTGTCTAGGGCGCTGGTGGCACTGTCGGACTGTCCGCACTCTACGGACGGACATTCCGCCGGTGAAGTTTCTAACCCTTGCTCAAATGTGCCAACCACCAAGTGTATCACCTTGTGCACATGTGTTAGCATATTTTCACAAACATTTTCAAGGGTGTTAGCACTCCACTAGATCCTAAATGCATATGCAAAGAGTTAGAGCATCTAGTGACACTTTGATAACCGCATTTCGATACGAGTTTCACCCATCTTAATAGTACGACTATCGATCCTAAATGTGATCACACTCACTAAGTGTCTCGATCACCAAAATAAAATGGCTCCTATCATTTATACATTTGTCTTGAGCCTTTTATTTTTCTCTTTGTTCTTTTCAAGTCCAAGCACTTGATCATCATCATGGCATTACCATCATCATGTCATGATCTTCATTTGCTTCACCACTTGGAGTGTGCTACCTATATCATGATCACTTGATAAACTAGGTTAGCACTTAGGGTTCCATCAATTTACCAAAACCAAACTAGAGCTTTCAATAGGGTATATCATCATTTTGTTTATCGTTTGAGAAAATATGTTATCCTTTTGTTTAACTTGCTAGCATGAAATAATTTATAACCACTTTGGTTTCATAGTTTATTGTTTATAACTGTAAGAACGACCACATTTTTAGAAGATCGTTATTTCTATAACTAAAACACTATTTTCTTTT